GCCTGCTGTGTTCATCCAGCTCTACACCTTTGTTGTCTTGTATATGTTGTCCTTACTTGGTGGATGAGTATTTACATCGTGATGTTCTTTTAAAAAGGCATGACAAACATGTTGGAAATAAGATGTACATGGAATGGGTTGTATGTATCCTGGGTTGTGCCACATTTGAATTCTTCTCTGAACATTTCTTGTAGAAGAGGTAACATGGGATCATGCCCATGGCGAACAAAATCCACTCCTCAGAAAATGTAGGCTGTTGCCTTGGGAGCCAGCAGATTTGAGGGACGTTAACGCAAGTATCTGTGAACCTCCGGAGGCATATTACAAAGTAAGCACTTGGATTAGTATGACTGTTTGATCAATCAGTAAATCGAGAAATAATTCCTATTGGTATTTTGCATTTTGGCAAACTGAATGTAGCGTGGTTCTAACGCTGCATTTAATCTTTTACAGATCAACCTCTCCAGGTTTTGCTGTACTATTTAGCTATTAGCATAAACATTATTGAATGTGATGGAAATCTTTGCCTAATATTTCCTCTCATTTCTCCTGAAAGTATTGGCTTCTTGCAGGGTAATGTTTGACCAGGTCTTCATTTCACTTTCGTACCTTGTCTACCGAGCCAATCCATGAGCTCTAAGAGTGATGTTTGAAGCTTATTTATTCACTCACTGGCTTGAAAAATCTGTGACGTAGAGGTGCCGGTGTTGGGCTGAGGTGGACAAAGTCAAGAAGTCACACGACACCAGGTTATAATCCAACAGGTTTTGAAATCACACGCTTTCGGAGCGCTTCACCTGATGAAGGAGCAGTGCCCAGAGAGTTTGTGATTTCACATAAACCTGTTGGACTATAACCTGGTGTCGTGTGACTTCTTGACTTTGAAAAATCTAACCATCCCAATTACTGTAGATTCAACCTACTTCTGCTGAAGTGTAACACAAGTGTAGCAGTTAGTTCTTTGTAAACTCTCTTTGAATATATTGTCAGCGGCATTCACTGTTTATATTTTTCAAAGCATAACATGGTGCACTTCCTGAATTTCAGACTGTTTTCGCGAACAATAAAGAAGTTTTGCCACTTCCAACAGAGCCATCAGTTTTTGAGAAAGATAAAATTTTCAAGTATGTATAAATATTTTCGTAATTCTAAATTCTGTTGCAAATTGGTAATAACAGTGTGATTCTGTAAGTAACTTAGAGATATCCTTATGTTTTTTTTTTAACAACAGCCAGTGCCTCCCTTTTGGGGTCTTGGAAACTCCTCTGTATTAATCCCCCCAGATAACAAGACTCATTTATTCAACATCCTTGACAGTTTTGAGTTCACCTAGCTCCAGCTCTTAATTGGAAACAGTTGCTAGTTGTAAGACCCTTATTTATCTCTTGTCTGAGCTTTTCCAGAATTGTAACAACCATTTTTAGTTTCCTAGCACTCCAGTTTCAGAAACCACTTAAAAGATCACTTCATGGTCACTTTTCTTGAAAACACTCTCTTTACCCCCATGTGCAATTGACACTATCCTTCATAAATGAGGACAGGGTTCCCTGCAAAGCGGCTGATATTTGCAAGGAATCCCCTTCCCCTTCACCAACCAGACTCTTAGAGTGTTGGTACAGGAGTAGGCCATTTGGCCCTATGAGCCTGTTCTGTCATTCAGTGATGAACATGTCTGTTTATCCAACTCAGTACCCTGTTCCTGTTTTCTCTCCATACTGTTTGATTCCTCTAGCACGAAAAACGATACATATCTCCTCAAAAGCCTTCAATCTTGCAGCCTCAACCACTTTCTTTGGCAGAGAATTCATTTGTCTCTGGGTGAAGAGAAAAACCTCTAGTAATAATGTTATCTGCCTGCCTTGGCTTAAATTACTCACTTATTAAATATGTATAAATGTGTCCCAGTAATTGTAGTGACATGCTTACTGTCGTTCTTTAACTATTTGATTTTTCATCAGACCATGGTATTGAGGGTTATGGAGCCAAAGCAGGTAGATGGAGATCCACCTGATCTCGCTGAATTGGTGAAGCAGGCTCATGTTGAATGATCTAGAGTCATACAGCACAGAGACGGACCCTTTGGTCCAACCAGTCCATGCAGACCATAATCCCAAACTGAACTAGTTCCACCTGCCTGTGCTTGGCCCATATCCCTCCAAACATAGAACAGTGCAGCACAGTACAGGGCCTTCGGCCCATGATGTTGTGCCGACCTGTTATCCTACTCTAAGATCAAACTAGCCTTCATACCCTTCATTTTACTATCATCCATGTGCCTATCCAAGAATTGCTTAAATGTCCCTATTGTATCTGACTCCACTACCACTGCCGGCAGTGCATTCCACACACCCACCACTCTCTGTGTAAAGAACCTACCTCTGACATCTCCCCTATACCTTCCTCCAATCACCTTAAAATTATGCCCCCTCATAATAGTCATTTCTGCCCTGGGAAAATGTCTCTGGCTATCCACTCTATCTGTGCCTCTCATCATCTTGTACACCTCTATCAAGTCACCTCTCATCCTTCTTCACTCCAATAAGAAAGCCCTATCTCCCTCAACCTTTCCTCATAAGACCTGCCCTCTGTTCCAGGCAGCATCCTGGTAAATCTCCTCTGCACCCTCTCTAAAGCTTTCACATCTTTCCTATAATGAGGTGACCAGAACTGAATATTCCAAGTGTGGTCTCACCAGGGTTTTATAGAGCTGCAGCATAACTTCGTGGCTCTTAAACTCAATTCCCCTGGCAATGAAAGCCAACACACCATACAACCCTATCAACTTGGGTGGCAACTTTGAGGGATCTATGGACATGGACCCCAAGATCCCTCTGTTCCTCCACATTGCTAAGAATCTTGTCATTAACCCTGTATTCTGCATTCAAATTCAACCTTCCAAAATGAATCACTTCACACTTTTCCGGGTTGAATTCCATCTGCCACTTCTTTGCCCAGCTCTGCATCCTGTTGATGTCCCATTGCAACCTACAACAGCCCTCCACACTGTCCACAACTCCACCAACCTTCGTGTCATTGGCAAACTTACTAACCCACTGTTCCACTTCCTCATCCAAGTCATTTATAAAGATCACAAACAGCAGAGGTCCCAGAACAGATCCCTGCGGAACACCACTGGTCACCGAGCTCCAGGCTGAATACTTTCCATCTACTACCCTCTGTCTTCTATTGGACAGCGAATTCTGTATCCAGACAGCCAAGTTTCCCTGAATCCCATGGCTCCTTATTTTCTGAAATTTTTTGAATTGAAATTTCAAACATTCCTTATTCTTGTATGTATCCAAATGTGTTCCAAACGTTGTAATTGTATCCACATCTACCACTTCCTCTGAAAGTTCATTCCACACATGAGCCACTCTCTATGTAAAAAATGTTGCCCCTCGTGTCTTTTTTTAAATCTTTCTTCTCTCACCTTAAAAATATGCCCTCTAGTCTTGAAGTCCCTCACCCTAGGGAAAAGACACCTGCCATTTACCTTATCTGTACTCCCCATGATTTTATAAACCTCTATGAGATCATTCTAGTGGAAAAAGTCCCAGCCGATCCAGTCTCTCCCCATAACTCAAACCCTCCATTCCTGGCAACAGCCTGGTAAATCTCTTCTGAACCCTTTCCAGCCTAATAATAATATCCTTCCTATAACCTGTATTCCAAAGGATATGATTGTGGGATTGTTGGTTTGCAGGTAACAATCAGGTCTGATATATATCAAGTATATTAGGCCCTATACTTTTTATTTAATCTTAGTTTCAAATTTATTAACCCTATCAAACATATATATATGGAAACTAATTCTCTTATAGTTCTAGTTTGAAACACTTCATTCAGATTCGCTGATCATGTTTGGTTTGTATATTTATAACGTCTCTTCCACTTTCTTTGCACAGGGTGTACGCAGAATTAAAGCAAGTGTTGGACAATTTAAATTCCCCACGCTTTGTGTTCACAGAAAATGAAAATGAGGCAGATGTTCTTTACTTGTACCGCCACTTCAAAGACTACAGGTCAGTGTCTCATTCAAACGGAGGAGCATTTTCAACTCATTCTCCAGGAAAAGCTAATGTGTTACCAATTTGATTTTAATTGTGTGCAGAGATTTGCAGAATGAACTAAGAAGACTAGTGCATTGGATTGTCTGACATCTATATTGCTGATCTTGGCTTAAAGTTTGAATCCACCTCCGGTTGATAGAGTGCAAGGCTCCATTCGCACCCTGTACTCTTTCGTGAGCTTTTGCAGAACGACAGGGGAAAATGAAGTTAACTATCTCTGGTACTCACCTTCACCTTTCTTGGAAGGGAGAATTCCTCCATATACTGTTAGACCAATCTCGTGTCATATGTTCCTGAGGGTTGGGATTGAGGGGAGGCAGGGAAAGAATCTCTTTAAGAAATATGTAGTTCTTGTATCCACATTATAAGAAGGATGTGATAGCACTGGAGAGGGCGCAGAAGAGATTTACTTGGATGTTCCCTGGCCTAGAGAGTTCTAGTTATGAAGCGAGATGGGACAGACTGTGGTTGTTTTCCTTGGAGCAGAGGCGACTGAAGGAGGGACATGATTGATGTATAAAATTAAGGAGGCATGGATAGTGTGGACAGGAAGGAACATTTCCCCATCGTGGCAGGATCAGTAACTAAAGGACACAGCTTTAAGGTTAGGGGCAGAAGATTTAGAGGAGATGTAAGAAAACTTCTTTTCACCCAGAGGCTAGTGGGAATCTGGATCTTACTGCCTGTGAATGTAGTAAAGACAGAAACCCCCATTACACTTAAGTAGTATTTACATGTGGACTTGTGACACCAAAGCTTAAGAGGCGATGGGCCAAGTGCTGGAAAATGGGATTTAAATAGTTATATAGTTTTTTTTTGACTGGTGCAGACGTGATGGGCCAGAGGGCCTTTTCTATGCTGTACGCTTCAATGACTGTAAGATTTGAGATGTCAGTGTCCTGCTTAGGAGCAGCAGGTAACCTTTTATTTTCCCATCTGTAAGTTGTAAGCTGTACCTCTTTGCTTTGGTTGATTTGACAAGTAAGAAAAGTAGAAGACAGTGCAAGGAGGGAAAGGTTGGGAAGGAACCTGGGAGTAAGCTTCTAAGAAGAAAATTGAAGATTAGATTGCACATCTTTCTGAGCATGTGTGTTCTAGCTTTTGCTGGAGATTGTCTAAGCAGTGCTGAAGTTGGAAGAGAGAGTCTTTAGCAAGTGGAAAATGATCCTGTCATTGATTATAAATACGTGCAAAGTTCTAAAGGATAGTATTTGATGATGTTGAGCGGCTTGCTTAAAGCTCCCATGTGAATCTATTTAGCCTGCTCATCCCTGGACATTATGGGTAATTTAGCATGGCCAATCCACCTAAACTGCACATCTTTGGACTGTGGGAGGAAACCAGCACACACTTGGGGGAGAATGTGCAAACTCCACAGACAGTTGCCTGACAGTGGAATCGAACCTGGGTCTCCGGTGCTGTGAGGCAGCGGTGCTAATCACTGAGCCACTGTACCACCCTTGATTTCTTGATATCTAACAGAGTGAATAAAATGGTCTGAAGACTGGCATTTGTGGAATATTTGCACTCTCATTGGTATGTTGCACTCTTCCCATGGAAAGAAATCAACTCCGGTTTGTGAAGTCTGATCACCAACCCCTGGTGGGAATGTGCTGGTGTGAGTACCAAGTCAGGACAGGATTGTGTTTCAGTGTGATGTCCCCCTTCAGACAGCCTGACAAAACTAACCATTAGGCCATCACTTGGATGAGCTAGGCGAAAGCAAAATGCTGTCAGTTAAGCAGGAAAGTTGATGTTTTGGGTCGGGGCCCTTTGTCAGAAATGCCCTTTTCTGAAGAAGAGTCCTGATCCGAGATGTCGACTTTCCTGCTCCTCTGATGCTGCCTGACCTGCTGTGTTCGTCCAGCTCCACACTGTGTTATCTCTGACTCCAGCACCTGCAGTTCTTACTATCTCTGATGCTGTCACTTAAACTGCTTTCCAAAAATACAAAGATACAAGAAGAGATGGAGAGGAAAAAAGACTCTTTTACTGATAATTTAACCATAACACAAGCCTCACTGCAAAGGAGAAATATTAATGTGATGCCAATTAATTGAAAAATGATTATGTTTTTTAAAACTACAAATGTTTGGTTTATTTTTCTTCGATGTTTATGACCTCTGCGTTCTGGGATTATGTCCAAGCTCAGGTACCAGACCTAGAAATGGAACACTTCTTGATGAGGTAGATGACTTGTTGCTTGTCTCCCAAATCATCTCTTTTACACATTTGTATTAAATATTTGTAGGACTTTGAGTGAGCAGAGGCCCCACGTTATAGTGAATCAGTTTCCTTGTGAAAACCTGGTGACAGTGAAGGATTGCTTGGCTGCTGTGTCGAGGCGCACTGGAGGAGTGAATGGCCCAAAGTGGCTACCCCTTACCTATAACCTTTGCACAGAGTTACCTCAGTTTATTAGCTGCTATCAACAACGCAAAGACAGGTAAGCAATGCTCAAAACTTTGTTTTATGACATTTACAATACTGGCAAGAATGTGGCTGAATCACAGTTTACAGCTGTTACCTGAGACTTAGACTCCTCCTTGAATTCACAGTTAAATTGTGACTAATAGAGAAAAACAACTTACTGTCAATTAAAACGTTTATACTTTTTCAGTAAGTTTCTAGTTTTGTTCACTTAGCCTCTGTTAAATCCTAGAGGATATGACTTATCACAATCAAGTATGATCCTGTTGTCATTCTGATAGCTTGGCCATATGTTTATATTTAGACATTTGTGAAGGTTGACTTTTACATTTTATGTGATCTCTAAAAGCAGGAAAAATGCTGAAAGTTTCAAATTTGACATACGCTGTATCTGATGGATTTCACATTTCTTCCTTTCCTAACCCAGGATCATTGCAGCTGGTTGTTGCAAGTCTATGGGTTGCTACATTGAGATCCATTAACCTCATAAGTGTGTCACATTAAATCTAGGACTGCCTTTTGTGTATGACCAAATGCTTTGGTATGCATTTATTGATTAATGTGTTAGAAGAGTGAATGCAAACTATTAGATGCTTTTATGGTTCCAGCTGATGTTCCGACTATACAAGTTGGATCCCAGAATGAAATCAAGCCTGACAGATCATATTTTCTTTCAACTTGAATATGGTGGTCTTTCATTGAAACATAAGCATACCAGGCTGCAGATTTGGTTTTAACAATAAAACAGGAATGTATTACACAAGATACATTTTTAAAAGTAAACAAAGCAAACTAAGGCTTTTGGGTTCAGTCATCAGTGTATAATAAAAAGATTTCAAAACGCACAGCGAAACAAAAAATCCCATCTATTCCCAACACCATTGCCTTACAGTGAACTAAAACCCAGCAAGATACTCCTTCCCTGCTAGTCTGGAGTTAGATTTAACTGTTTTATAGCATTTCCTGTGCTATGAGCTATGAAGTCTTTCTTTGAGTATTCACACAGCTGAGAGCTTAGATTTTCTCAGTTTTTAACAATCCACAGAGTTCTAACCAAATACTCTTGGTCTGGAAGGTTCACTAATTACACACTTTCACAGGTAACTTATTTCCTTCATTGTTCTGAACAATCTCCTTTTTGAGGAGGGACAATACTTGTATCTGCCTTTAAGTCTCTTTCACGCTGAACCCAAAAGCCTTTGAACTGAATATTTTAAAATAGCTTATTCTAGATTCTGTTAAAGTTTAATGTTTTTTCTGTCTCATTGTAAACCTCCACAGTATCAATAAACTTCTGTTAACATTCCGGGAAGCTTACAGCCACATGCTGTCTGGCACATACTCGTTTAAAATAATGGTTTCAGAAACATTGATCTAATTCTTCTGTAAACACCTTCACAAAAATAAGCCAACACCCATATGCCACCAGTTTGAAATCCAACCTCTTAATAATGTCTTTCATCATGTGCGCTATGAGTAGCCTTTACCTGGCAGCTCCACTGGGACAGAATGGAACGAAACACACAGACCCATTTTTACCACTGATCCATGCCCGTATAAATGATATTGGTATTTCAGTGACGGTTGTTCTCATTGCCCTGTGCTAGAGAAGAAAAACACTAATTTGGGTATTGGCTCCTATGCAACAGACTGTGATTTGCGCTGAAAAGTATGCATGTGTGTGGACAATTGACCAGAACAAGATCCAGGTCAGTTATGATTCTGCCTCTTCCCTCCGTCCTGCTACACACACACGCACACCCTGCTGTCTAGCATTGCCCCGCCACATAGCGGACACATCCTACCCACATCTCTTAATCGATGTATAGTGATTGTCAAAGTGCCTGCAGGATATTTAAACTCAGGATACAGGACTCAGTGTTATAAAAGGAGGTGTCATTTCTGCAGTGATTTTCTGTGCTTCTGGATTTATGGGTTCCAACATACATTTGTAATAGGAGGCCCCGGTCCAGAAATAGTTTCCAACCTTGAATATAAAATGTGGGCCGAATTTTTTCTCAAGCATTCACACGATCACAGATTTCCTTTTGAACAATGGATTGTAAGATATCGATGCTCACCATGCATCTGACAGGCTCGTTTTTCAGTTGCCTGTGGGGGAAGACACTACTCATTGTGTCAAGTGATGATGCTGAATATATTCAATAATGAATGAATATGTTCAAGAACAAGATAAAGAAGGCATTAAGGGATATGGGGAGAAAGTAGGGATAAGATATTGAGATAGAGAATCAGACATGATCATATTGAATAGGAGAGTAGGTTCAAAGACCGAATGGCCTGAACCACCATCTTGTTTCTGTGTTAAGTATCTAAAGATGCTCAACAGCTCTAAAATGAATCAAGCTGCAGTTGACTGATCAGCATAAGTGTTCCTACAAGGGAGAACACCATCGGCTTGCTCGAAGATGCATCTTAGCATTACAAAGTGTGCCGTATACATTTAAAACATTCCTGTAACATTTCAGCACTGACCGTAATTAGATCATGTGTCCTTGCTTTCATTTCTGCATTTAAATGGATATGTATAAATAAACCACACACCTGCTCCTTGTTCCTATTTCCTTCTCCTTCTGGTCCCACTTTATTCTGGTTATTTTTTTCAACTTTCCGTTTGCCTCCTTCAGTACCCTTTTAATCAACAGTAGTAATTTATCAAAATAGCAATGTCCCAATCCATCTAACATTGCACATGTCAGGAAAACTAAACTCATTAATATAACCACTTATACACTTAGAGTTGTGTCCATGCTCTAATCAATCTGTTAGTTCTAAATTGTTTCTGCAAATCCAATGAGGAAAAGCAAAATCTGTAATCTCATGCATTAACCCCTTCAGATCATAAGGGATTTGGACAATTATAATAATATGAAGACTGCTGCTTAGCTGAGAGCATGAATAACATTTTGGAGTAGCGTATTACTTGTCTGATGCGCCTTGATGAAGATCACTTGTATCTTAAACACTACCACAGAGTTATAGTTGTTGATATTGCAGTTTGCGTGTTTGTTTTTATTCATTCACGGGTTGAGGGCATCACTGGTTAGGCCAGTATTTATTGACCTTCTCTAATTGCCCAGATGGCAGTTAAGAGTCAACCACATTGCTGTGGAGTCACACGTAGGCCAGACCGGATGAGGACAACAGTTTCCTTCCCTTAAGGACATTAGTGAACCAGAAGTTTTTTTTCCGACAATCAATAATGGATTCATGGTCACTTATTAGGCTCTTAATTCCACATTTCTATTGAATTCAAATTCCATAATTTGACATGGCGGGATTCAAACCTGGATACCCAGAACATTGCCTGGATCTCAGGATTAACAGTGCAGCTATAATACCACTAGATCCTCATCTCCCCAGTACCTGTATGTGAAGTTGCTGCTACATTTTGCTCAGTCAGTGTATTGGACAAATGTTTGTTCCATTTCCCACATTTTGTTTCATAGGGGAGAGGACAACCACTGGATTTGCAAGCCTTGGAATCTTGCTCGAGGTCTAGACACACACATTACTAACAACCTCAACTACATCATTCGTCAAAGAGAGGGTACACCAAAGGTATGCTCCGTTATAGAACTGTGAAGTTATTTACACAACACGAGCCTGCTGAAAGGTCTAGATTAAGTTAGGTGATGCTCTAATAAACACACCAAGACATCTTTTTGTTTCTGTGCTATTTAAAAGAGGGTAGTGATAGGAGTGTTCTGGTGGTCTCTTTGTTGCCTGGGCGGAAGATGGAAAAGGTCAACATAGTACCTGCTGCTTCCTCATTATCTAATTCGGATGAGCTGGGTTTTCCTCAAGCTAACTGTTGGAAAGACCAAGGACAAGATTTCAGCCACTGTTACAACCTCCGTTCCTAATCGTGGACTCTATCCCTCTCCCAGGTCAAAGGTTATTACAGATAATAAAAGTTCACAGTGTAGGGGATAACACATTGGAATGCCAAGAATTTTGGCCGGCTGGGAGAAAACAGAGTATGCCCAAATACATTTTTTGCTGGCAGCATGTAACAACGCCAGGGACCTGGGTTTGATGCCAGCCTCGGGCGACTGTCTGTGTGGAGTTTGCACATTCTCCCTGTGTCTGCGTGGGTTTCCTCTGGGTGCTCTGGTTTCCTCCCACAGTCCAAAGATGTGCAGGTTAGGTGGATTGGCCATGGGAAATGCAAGGTTACGGGGATAGGGTAGGGTGTTGGTCAGGGTTGGATGCTCTTTGTGGGAGCGTTCAGTGTGGACTCGATGGGTCGAATGGCCCGCTTCCACACTGTAGGGATTCTATGATTCTGTTAAACATGTGGGGTCCCCCAGATGTCTTTGCTAGGGCCTCAGCTTTTCACAATTTGCATCAATTACTTAGATGAGGAGAGTGAAGGCACAGTAACTAAATTCACAGCACAGAAAGATACGCAGGAGAGTAAGTGGTGAAGATGACATAAAGAGTTTGCAAATGGATATAAATAGGTTGAGTGAGACAGCAGAAATCTGGCAGATGGAGTATAATGTGGGAACTGACGTTGTTTACTTCTGCAGGAAGAATAAAAAAGCAGCATATAACTTAAAGAACTGTAGAATGCTGAGGTACAGAGGAATCTAAGTGTTTGTCAGTGCATAAGTCATATAAAGTTAGGCAGATAGAGCACGTCATCACTTAGCTAATGGAATGCTATCCTTTTATTATGAGAAGAATTAAAATCAGCACATTATACTTAAGGCAAGCAGGCCATTGGTGAGACCACATCTCAAACACATTATGATTTTGGTTGCCTTATTTAAGGAAAATGTATTGGACCCAGTGCAGAAAAGGTCTGATTAGATTGATTCCTGGGATGAGAGGGCAAACTTACAACGAGAGGTTGGACAGACTGGAGTTATTTTCACTGGAGTTGAGAAAAGTGAGGGGTGACTGGATTGAGGTGTGCAAGATCTTAAATAGTCCTGAGAAGGTGGATTTGGAAAAGATGTTTCCTCTTGTGAGCGAGTCCAGGACTAAGAACACTGCTTTAAAATGAGGGCTCCCTTTAAGACAGCTGTGAAGAAATTTTATTTTCTCTAAGGGTTATGCAGTTTTGGAAATCTCTGCCTCAGAAGCTGTGGAGGTGGGACATTGATTATTTTCAAAGCAGGCAGAGGTAGATTCTTGTTAAACAGGGTAATCAAAGGTTAGAGGGGGTAGATGGGAATGTACAAGCAGTTTCCCAGGTTATGAATGGGTTCCTTTTCTGAGAATATTCATAAGTCGACTTGTAAACGGGTTGGAGCACAAGACAGGAGAATATAAAAATCCGTTTATAAGTACGACCAAGCATTCGCATGTTGGTTCCTTAAAATTAATGGTACTATGCGACCTTGTTCATAAGTATGAGCATCTGTAACTTGGGCATTCAAAAGTCGTGGACCCCTGTAGAATTTAAAACACAAACAGATTGACCGTGATATTGTGGAAGGGCCGAGCAGGCTCAAGGAGTTGAATGGCTTACTCATGCTCCTATTTTGCAAGTAGGTTCATATGTTCCCTCTCCTTCAAGTCTATCTCTTGACCAAGTTTTTGTCATCTGTCCCAATATTCCTATGTGTGCCCAGTGTCAATTTTGTTTGAAGCATCTTAGGATGTCTCATGTCGTTAAAATGAGTATCTAAAAGCAAGTTGATGTTGGATCACCAACTACTGATTTGTCCTGGATAGTGCCTTTGTGATGTGCTTCATGGTTCTCAGTTCAACAGTCAGTACTTGAACTCACTTGATTCGTGTGTACTTTCTGGCCACTTCGAAAGATCCTGAAATGTGTGTGTCTCAGAGTGAGGTAACCACTTTTGAGATGAGAGAAGACAGTTGAGGGAGAAGGAACCTGTTTTTGGTAGTTTTCCAATAATGACACATTATTCATTGTTCACAGGTGGTATGCAAGTACATTGAGAATCCAGTGCTGTTTGATAGAGAAGATGTAGAAGGATTGGTTAAATTTGACATTCGATACATTGTCCTACTTCGTTCAGTCCAGCCATTGCAGCTGTATGCGTACAATGTATTCTGGCTTCGCTTTTCCAACAGGTATGAAAAGATGAAATTACCTGTTCAATTTTAAAATTGAGGCAGTTTTTTTTCCTATTTGTTTGTTGACTGTGGACGTTCTTAGTAATGCCAACATGTTTTGCCCTTGAGAAAGATTTTGGTGTTTTTCTTTTCTTGAACCTCTGCATTATATATGGTATGGGTCCACTTACTGTGCTGTTAGGGAGGGAGTTGCAGGAGTCCAATCAAATACAGTGAAGAAGCAGGGATATATTCACCAGTGGCTAAAAAGTGGCAAATAACACTCATCCCGCACAAATGCCAAGCAATACCCATCTCCAATAAGAGACAATCTAACCACCACCCCTTAACGTTCAATGGTGTTGCCATTACTGAATCCCCCACTATCAGCATCCGGGGGGTTACCATTGGCCAGGAGCTCAATTGGACTGGCCACATAAACACAGTGGCTACAAGAGCAGGTCAGAGGCTAGGAGTACAGTGGTGAGAAACTCGCTTCCTGACTCCTGAAAGCCTGCGTACAAGGCACAAGTCAGAAGTATGATGGAATACTTCCCACTTGCCTGGATGAGTACAACTCCAACAAGACCCAAGAAGCTTGACACCATCCAGGACAAAGCATCATGTTTGACTGGCACCACATCCACAGGCATCCACCCCCTCCATCACCAACGTTCAGTAGCAGCAGTGCAGACTGTCTACAAGATGCACTGCAGAATTCACCAAACATCCTTAAACAGCATCTTCCAAACCCACGACTACTTCCATCTAGAAGGACAAGGTCAGTAGATACATGGGATACCATCAGTTGCAAGTTCCTCTCCAGGCCACTCACCATCTTGACTTGGGAATGTATTGCCATTCCTTCGCTGTTACTGGCTCTGAATCCTGTCATTGTGGGTCTACCTACAGCATACGGACTGCAGCAATTCAAGAAGTCAGCTTGCTACCAACCTCTCAAGGGCAACCAGGGACAGGCAATAAATGCTGGTTAGCCAGCGACACCTACATGCCATGACTGAATCAAAAACGTTTCTAAGACAGGATTGTATGTGGTTTGGAGAGGTGTATGCAATTGATGGTGTTCCTGTGTAGTTGCTGCCTGCATCCTTCCAGGTGGTGGAGATCATGGGTTGGGGATATGCTGTCAAAGGAGCCATGGGTGTTACTGCATTGCATTTTGCTGCTACTGTGTCAGTAGTGTGGAGACAGTGAATGTTTGAGGTATTGGATAAGGCGCCAATCCAGTGGGCTGCTGTGTCCTTTATAATGTTGAGCTGCGTGCTGGTTGCTGGAGCTGCCCTCATCTGAGAGATTAGAGAGTATTCCATCTACAGATGAGCATGGTGGATGGGATTTAGAGAATCAGATGATGAACTATTTGCGGCAGAATTCCAGCCTGTTCCCTATCAGGATACAAAATCATTGTCTTCATCTAGCTCATTAAAATAAATTTCTGGTCAATGGTATTTCCCAGGATGTTGATAGTGGTGGGTTCAGCATTGCTAATGTTGTTGAGAATCCAGTGGAGATAGTAACTTTTTATCACATTGAATACGGTTGATGTCTGGCACTTTTGTAGCAAGAATGTTACTTACCACTTATCAACCTGAAGTGGAAAGTTGTCCAAGCCTGCAACCAAGGACTGCTTCAATATCTGAGGAGTTTTAAATGGAGTTGAATACTGTGCAGTCATCAGCAAGCATTCCACTTCTGACTTATAATGTATGGAAGCTCATTGATGAAATAGTTGAAGACTGGTGGGCCCAGGACACCACGCTGTGGAAATCCTGCTGTGACATTTGGGACTGAGATGAACAGTTTCCAACAACCGCAACCTTTGTTTTCAGTGTTTTCAGTGTGACTCCAATCTGTAAAAAGCATTAACTTGATTCCCATTCACTTCCATTTTACTTGGGCTCCTTGACGCCACACTCACTCAAGGCCACCTCACCTCTGGAGTTCAGCTTTTGTCCATCTTTGGACTAAGGCTGTCGTAGATTTGGAACCGAGTGGCCCTGGTGGAACCCAAACTGCGAATCGGGATACAGGCTGTTGCTGACTAAATGCAACTAAGTTGCAGTGTTGATAACACTGTCCATCACTTTTCTGATGGTGGAGAGGAGACCGATGGGGCACTAGGACAGAAACATACCTTTCAGATAGGGTTGTAGCTGTTCTGTACCTGCACTGTACTGAATGATCCATGTTTAGAGCGGCCATGAAAACTCATTTATTTCAATTATTTTCCTACTCACAACTGCAATTTTTTTTGAAAAATGAAAATATGAATTCACTATTTATTTAATCTTAGCTTCTTAATGGCACGTTGTTTTCCTCCAAACTGAATAGGACATTAAGGACAAAATATAATTGTACTTAAATTGTATTCCAGTGATGTTTTTACTTGAATGTGTAATGATGCGTTAGTAACATATGTGACTTATTTGTAATATTCCAGCCTTAATCACTCAGCCTGATGGGAATTAATGGGATGTAATTGGAAGCCCTGTCTTTTGGATGTGATTGTCATAGCATTCCTTTTACATCTACTTCACAGACATTAAGATTAATATCAAAACACTTGGGGCAATTTTGCTGTCAGTAATTGATCTACACTTTGAATTGGCACACATATGTTGATAGACACTTTTGAGGAAGGGAGTGTGAATGGCAGGAAAGAATGAAGAAAGGGAAGGATAATATGTAGCACTAATGTATGAAGGATATGAGCAAAAGGAACAAATATATAATTACTGTCACTTTACAAGGTCAGCTGGTCAAAACCGCAAATGGTGATTTTAACCTGATCAATCCCATTTATGATAGAATCCCTACAGTGTGGAAACAGGCCATTCAGCCCTTGCCGATCCTTCAAAGGGCATCCCACCCAGACCCAAACCCTACCCTATTGCTGTAATCCTGCATTCCCATGGCTAATCCACCTAGCCTGCACATTTTTGGACTGAGAAGAAACCGGAACACCTGGAGGAAACCCACGCAGACACGGGGAGAACGTGCAAACTCCAAATAGACAGTTGCCCGAGGGTGGAATTGATCCTGGGTCCCTGGTGCCGTGCAGCAGCAGTGCTAACTACTGAGCCACAGTGCTGCCCATTTACAATTGAAATTTTCTGGATCGACGTACTGCCTTTATAAAATATTAAACTGTCTGCTTGGTTGCACTGATAGCAGTTTGTGCTTTATTTACATAACCCTATTCTCCTGCGAGGTATCCTGTTTTAAGCTGTGTAAGTATTTCTGCTCAAATATAATTTACCGCATGCATAGCTGCTTGGAATCCACCTTGATTTTGTTGGACCATCTAGTAGCGTTGTGCCATTTAGATGCGTAATGTGTGCACTATTCAGTTTTCAGAGTCACATTGCTACTAAGTAAACATAAGGTTAATATTTGGTCAGTTTTGCTGCTATAATTTGGTAAGTGGCTGAGGTCACATAATAGTCAGTGAAAAGACCTTTCATGCCCTGGTTTTAGTTTTTGTTTTAGAGCTAGAAATTCCTTTATACTTCTGTTTGAAGTAGACCATAAATTTGTGTGTGATACTTAAATTGTGATATTTAGCTCTATATTAATCATTTTTATATGACTGTATTTCCTAAGGCCTGATTAATAATATTTTTAAAAATGGTTTGCGTTTGTAGCCCAATCATACTGTGGAAACTCTGCATTATTCTGATGATACAGTTTTAATGTGTACTCCATTAAGGCTGCAATTTTTAATGGATCAATCACTCATTGAATTGATATAAAGGTCAAATAAAAATTGCAGACTTTCTGGTTGTGGAGCATTGTGTTGTTGGAGAGTTTGTGCCTTTCAGTTTAATATCTTTATACTTTTCCCTATCTTGGCTCGCAAATCTGGATATGTCTGTGTCAAAGTATGAAAATGTATAAAATGTTAATAGAAAAATGATTTATTATGCTATTATGCATCAAATGTAAGCATCTAATGCTACTTTGTCATATAATTGCTGCTCCTGTCATTCCTCTTCTGATCTTTTTCTCTTTCTGCCTTTCCTTTGCTGCTGTTTTGTTTTATTTGGGCAGGAGATGGTGACACCTTGATGGGAAAGGGCACCTTCACAGGTGAAAAGAGCACAGAGGATCCAACCAGCCTAAAAATCACAAAGACAATAAGACAGGGCAAGAACAGTAGTGGAAGTTGAATGGATGCTGTTAATATGCATATGGAAGCTGACACCCCTCTTTTTATCATCCCTCTTCTTTCATTCCTCTTTGCTCTTCCTGCAAGTTCTATACCAGAACTTGAGCAAAGAAAAGTCAATGCTATCACTCCAGTGTGGTTCTGAGGTAGCGCTGCATATTCTGAAGCATCGTTTTGAGAAATAGATGTTGAAGTGAAGCCCCATCTGTCATCTCAATTGGATGAACTGTTCCCACAGCTGGGATTTAAAGATAAGCAGAGGATTTATCCTGTTGATTTGATTTGATTTCTTGTTGTCTCACACCAAGATACAGTGAAAAGTGTTGTTTTGCATGCTGTAGAGGCAGATTGTACCTTACAAAGTACATCGGGATAGCAGAACAGAGTGCAGAATACTTTGCTATAGTCGCAGAGAAGGTGCACAGAGAGAGAGCTCAACGTTAACATTTGAGAGGTCTGTTGAAAAGTCTGGTAACAGCAGGGAAGAGGCTGGTCTTGAATTTGTTTGTAGGTTTATTCAAACTTTCTATATCTTCTGCGCGATGGAAGAGTGTGGAAGAGAGTATAACCGGGGTGGGAGGTGTCTTTGATTATGTTGGTTGCTTTCCTGATGCAGCGGGAAGTGTAGATGAAGTCAGTGGATGGGAGGCTCGTTTGTGTGACGGAGTGGGCTGTGTTCATGACTCTCTGTAGTTTCTTGCGGTCTTGGGAGGAGCAGTTGCCATACTGTGGTGCGTCCAGACAGGATGCTTTCTATGGTGCATCTGTAAACATTGTTAAGAGTCTTTGTAGGTATGCTGAATTTCCTTAGCCTCCTGAGTGAGTAGATGTGTTGTTGTGTTTTCTTGACTGTTGTGTCGACCTGAGTGGACAGATTATTTGTGATCGTCACTCCCAGGAAGTGACCGTCTCCACCTAAGCACCATTGATGCAGAAAGGGGCATGCCCTCGGCTCTGCTTCATTAAGTCAATGACCAGCTCCTTCATTTTGCTGACATTGATGGAGAGATGGTTGTCTTTACACCATGCTGCTAAGGACTCAATCTCTTTCCTGTACTCCATCTCGTTGTTTGAGATCTGACCTACAATGGTGGTTGTCATCAGCAAACTTGTAAATGGATTTGGGGTGGAATTGAGCCTCGCGGTCATGGGCGTATAAGGAGTACAGTAGGGGGCTGAGTACACAGACTTGCAGAGCACTGGTGTTGAGGATTGTCGTAGAGGAGATGTTGTCACCTATGACAGAGTTCATAGAGCCATACAGCATGGACACAGACCCTTTGGTCCAATTCGTCCATGCAGACCAGATATCCTAAATTAATCTAGTCCCATTAGCCAGCATTTGACCCGTAGCCGTCTAAACTCTTCCTATTCATATACACATCCAGATGCCTTTTAAATGCTGTAAATGTATCAGATTCCACCACGTCCTCTGGCAGCTCATTCCATACACACACCACCCTCTGTGTGAAAAGGTTGCCCCTTGTGTCCCTTTTATATCTTTCCCCACTCACCTTAAACCTATGCCCTCATTCTTACTGATTGCGGTCTATGGGTCAGGAAATCGAGGATCTAGTTACAGAGGGGGCACTGAAATTTAGGTCTTGGAGTTTGGAGATGAGTTTGTTTGGAATTATGTTGTTTGGATAATGGTTATCCCTTATAAACCTCTCAAGAACAGATTATCTGGTAATGGTCATATTTCTGTTTCTGTGAGTTTGTTGTGTGTAAATTGTCAGCCGTGTTTCCTACATTGAAACAGCGGCTATGCTTCAGTACTTAGTTGTTGTAAAATGGCTTGAGCTATCTGTTAGTAGAGAAAAGCTCCGCCTCCCCCTCTCTCCCTTTTTATTTCAGAACCCCCTTCCCCTCCCCCATTTCTGAAGAAGGGTCTAGGTCCGAAACGTCGGTTTTCCTGCTCCTCTGATGCTGCTTGGCCTGCTGTGTTCATCCAGCTCTATACCTTGTTATCTCGACTAGTTCACTTCAACAGTTTGTGCTCACGTCCTCTTGGCCCCTCTGCATCCACTGTCTTTTAAGAATTATCTTTTATTTTATATTGTCCTTTCTTGTTCTTCCTCTAGAAAGATATCACTTCATTCTTCTCCGCATTGAATTTCACCAATTGGTGTGTTTTTTTAAAAAAAAAACCTCACTTCCCTTTCATTCTTTCTTCAATTAATTTAAGTCAATGCTTGACTCTTCTTCCAATGGGAACAGTTTCTCCCTCCAAATGATGTCCTAGAACTTGTAAGTCTAAGATATAGATGAAGAAAAGCTATGGTCCTAATACTGACATTCTGGAGAACCAATTATATTCCTCCTTCCAGTTCCAAATGCTGTTTCCTGTCACTCATCCAATGTTGTATCTGTGCTATCACTGTTCCTTGTATTTCATGGGCTTTAATTTTGTTAATAAGCTCATTATCTGACACTTTATCAAACGTGGTTTACCAGTCTATTTACATTGTCAACCGCATTATCCTCAAATACGCTGTAACTTTATCAAACACGTCATTCAGATTCGTTAAACACAAAGTCAACAATATTTATATTGCACCTTTTCAGTAATAGAATGTCCCAAGGCACTTCACAAGTGTGTTGAAAAGAAAAGCATGACCCCAGGCTATACAAAGAGCTATTCAGCTGGATGACCAGAATCTTGGACAAAAAAGGTACGATCAAAGGAATGTCCCAAAGGAGGAAGGCGAGGCAGAGAGCAGTAGAAAGGCTATTCCGAGGCTTTGGGGCCAAGACAGTTTCAGACAGTTACCAATGGGGGAGCTATTAAAATTGGGAATGTACAAACCATCCGAATCATAGGAGCACAAGTAAGTTGCAGAGGTGTGGAGTTGGAGGCAAGGGCCAAATGAGGGGCAAGGCCACTTAAAAAATCCATGCCGACTTTCCTTAGGTAACCCGCATTTGTCCAAGTGACTGCTCGTTTTGTCCTGGATTCTGGTTTCAAACAGTTTTCCCATCGGTGTGGTTAAACTGTCTGACTTGTAGTTGGCTTTTCCTTGCATCTTTTTTTGAACAATGGTGTAACATTTGGCAGTCCTGTCATGTTCTGCTGTTCTGAAGACAATTGGAAGACGATGGCAATTGCCTGTTATGACTGTGAATGCAGTTTCTGCACCACATGAATGGAAGGAAATGGATGAAGGCCATTGGCTCAGATTTTTATGCAGCAAGCAAAAACGTATTTGCATTTATGTACTTTTTAGGATCTCCTTAAATATTCTAACAACAAAAAGATGACTTTTGGAGCACTTTGTAATCTTTCCTTGTTACAATAATGGGATCAGCAGATGGTATCTCAATAAGACAGGTTTTCTAAACAATAATCTTTCATTGTTTCAATTAAGTTTAACCTGATCACATCTGTATGATGGCTAACATTTCCCTTAGAGAAGCAAGAACACTCGAGGTGTGAGAAGGGGTGAAAATATGATGCTAGAAAACAAGAGGCAGCAGGACACCATTAAGGTAATGCAGCCAATTTTAATAGGCCTGAGGTATGAACCAAGCGCAAGTTTGAGTGAGAGACAAATTTTATTACCTATTAACCTGAGAAAACATAATACAGCACAACATCAAACACAGGTAGTAAATTTAAATGAGTTATACGGACAGGGAGAAAAGAACTACAAAGTTTAAATGTCCTTCGAATTTATTTCAAGTGTGAGAGTGAAGCTTGAGTCCACAAATGTTTAGCTGTTGCCTTGTTTCCTCAGCAGTAGTGAAACGTGTAGAATTTCCAACATCTTGGTTAAATGGTTGTTTTCCCACGTTGCTATTTCACTTGGTACTGACTTCAGGAGAAGACAAAGCACAAGGTGAAACAGACATCCGACTTCTTGAAATATTCTTTCTGCTTTGCTGCTGCAAGGTGAAATAGAGTCCATTTGTATATTCCTGAGTCCACCTTCATTGTCCTTATCAGTTGAACGTTTGCGGGCATATTTTCATCCAATAGTCTGCACGTTAATTTAAGCAGGAGATGCTAATTTCTAATACTATCTTGTTTGTATGGTTTAATTGCCTTTGGATGAAAGGGCAATTTCAATGCAGCTACTTTAGCACATATGTCAATCTGTAGTCAGGTGGTCATAGCATTTAGGGAGTATTTATCTTTTTTTTTGTAATTGCTTCAGTCTCCATGAAGGGCTTTGGTATTAATATTAAATGATGGAAACTGCTTATCGATAGTCCATGCTTACCTTTGTCACAACAGGATTTTCTTTACTTAACGTGCAACTAATACACCAAAGTAATGTCTAGCGTATGTTGATTTTTGTTTTATTGCTTATAGTCAAAGCTCAAAATGTGAAATCTAGTCCTCCAATTCTTTCTGACGTTTGCTGGGAAATTCATATCTCTTCACAAACAATTAGTTTTCACAAGGACTGCAACAATGGTCAGTGTTATGGTGTAAATGTAATGGAATAGTTTATTTTGACATACATGTCCATAGATAACAGCAACAGACCTTACAGGTTGCACTTCATTCACTGCTTGCAGCACAGTTAAGTAACCAAAAGCCTTATGAATTTTGTGAGATATTTTAAGTATGAACAATCTTTTGTTACTTTTATAGGCCTTTCTCACTGCATCATTTCGATGATTATCAAAAGCACTTTACTGTGATGAACTATGTTGATGAAACTCAACTTAAGCAGGCAAGTAAAGTCCTTTTTGAGTTTGATTATAAATACTAGTTTTGATAATAAATACTAGCTTTGATAATTTAATGAATTTCTGTGTTTCTCCCGCACTTTCTTGCCACTGTTCTCTGGTATCCTTCTCATTTCAATCCTTCCCTTCTGGGTTGAGAAGAGTGGGATCTACAAGGGAGTATGTTCCAGGGAGCTAGGCTGAGCTTGGGAAGGAAGTCTGAGTAACATTGCAGGAAACTTAAGAATTGCTTGTTAATCAGCTGTTTTTCCGGATGGCATTTCAATTCCAGTAATTTTGAAAAAATGTAAATTTCTAAACAAAGGCAGCGAAAGTAAGAAATTCTAGGCATAGGAGAGGGAGCTGATGGTAAGGGCAAAGAATATCTGCTTTTAGCTATAAACTGGGAGTTAGTGCAAAGTACAGGGGTGATTTTAAAGTTACTTCAAAGGTTAAGGTCTGGCAGGATAGCTCAGCCAAGCAGAATGCTGTCTTGTGGCATATGGGGAGTTGTGGAAACTTACCATGACCAGGGTGAGTCGCTATGCATTAACTGTCAATAGTTGCACAAGACAGGGCTCTGAATTTCAGAGTTCAGGCAGTGACATCTGTCTGGTAGAGCACTATGTGGATAGCATGTTTGAAGAGCTAATCACACTACAAGTTAGGAACAAGCACAGGCAGATAGAGATGTGTGACAGCCAGGCACTCCAAGATAGACCACTGCATACTTGCCAGAAGTCCATAAGATGATAAGGTAGAGGCGCAGAATTTGCTTAATTGGTCCGTGGTGTCTCCTCCGCCATTCAATCATGGCTGACATGTTTCTCAACCTCATTCTCCTGCCTTCTCCCTGTAACCCTTGATCCCCTTACTAATCAAGAACCTGTCTATCTCTGTCTTAAATACACTCAACGACTTGGTCTCCACAGCCTTCTGCAGCATTGAGTTCCACAGATTAACAGCCCTCTGGCTGAAGAAATTCCTCCCCATCTCAGTTCTAAAGGGTCATCCCTTCACTCCGAAGCTGTGCCCTCAGGTCCTAGTCTTTCCTACTAGCGGAAACATCATCTTCACCTCCACTCTATCCAGGCCTCTCTGTATTCTGCAAGTTTCAGTGAGACCCCTCTCTCAACCTTCTAAAGTCTTGCGTAGTAACTGACAGTTCTGGATCTCGATGAGGGCAATCAATCTTTGGTGGAAGGTAGCAAGAGCAAAAGCCCATGACACTACAACACTATGGGTGGCCTAATTGCATAGCTGGGGCAAAGAGTGGAAGGTCAGTACTGATGAGGGATTCTTCGGTTAGGGAAACAGACTGATGTTTCTGTGGCCAATATGACTCCTGGATGGTTTGTCTCCCTGGTGCTACGGTCAGGGACCTCACAGCTTGCTGGGCATTCTTATGGGGGAGGGTAAACAGCCAGAATTTGAGGTCCACAGTGATAGTAATGATATGGGTAGGAAGGGAGATTTGGTTCTGAAATTGGAATTTAAGGAGCTAGGTAGAAATTAGCAAGCAGCTCCCCTAAAATAGTAATCCGTGGATTACCCCCAGTGTGAGTGATTACAGAATTAGGATGATAGGAGAGATGAATGAATGGCTTTAAAGTTGGTGCATGAGGGAGGCCTTTAGATTCTTCGGATGCTGGGACTGGGTCTGAGAGTGATGACTGCTGTACAGAACAGATGAATTCCACCTGAATGGAGCTGGGACTACATTTCTTGCAGGGTGTTTTGCGAGTGCTGTTAGGGAGGATAAACTAACTCAGCAGAAATGTGGGAATCTGGAGGGAATATTAGAAAGTAATACAGAAGAGCACAAAATGCTGCGGGAGGTGGATAATAATATAAAAAATAGGAAGTTAATAGGGGGAGTTACAGTAAGGACAAAGTAACAAAACCAAAATCTGGGTTTCACTGCACTACACGTGAATACAGAGTGTACAGTTCATAACATCGGAGAGTTAACAGGCACAGACTGTGTGATTTTCATGTTGTGATGACAAATACCACGTTGATGCATGCCAGGGTATTTCCATGTGAAGATTAATTTTATCCCAAGTAATTATTTCTATAAGATTCCCCACCACTGAAGTTAAATTGACTACTCTGTAATTGCTGGGACATTATACACAACCTTTTTATTTGGAATGCAGGTGTAATGCTTAGTTCTCCAAACTGCCAGCACCTACCCCCGAATCCATAGGGGTATTAAATGTTCATGGTTACGAGGTGTTCAGAAAAGATAGAAAAGGAATAAAAGGAGAAGTGGTGATGTTTTTGATTAAAGAGATTACTGCAGTACTTTGACAAAGAGGATGCTTCAGAGGGTTCAAGGTTAGAATCAGCTTGGCTAGAAATAAGCAATGGAACGGGTACAAATACATATCTCAGTGTAATCTATCGACCATCTAGTAAAGAGGAACAAATCTGCAAGGAAATTACAGAGAGGTGTAAATATCGTAGAGTAGCTGTAATGAGGGGGCTTTAATTAGATGACAGAGGGGGAAATGCAGTCACTAGAAAACTTCCAAATTGACCAGGAGAACATATTGAAGAAGCTGTCAGTACTTAAAATTGCTAAGGAATGGGACTGGGTGAAATGTATCTGAGGATATTAAAGGAAATGAGTGTGGAAGCTGTGAAGGTGCTGGCCATGATCCTTCAATCTCCTATGAATTCGGGGGTTGGTGCTGGCAGTTTGGAGAACTAAGCATTACACCTGCATTCCAAATAAAAAGGTTGTGTATAATGTCCCAGCAATTACAGAGTAGTCAATTTAACTTCAGTGGTGGGGAATCTTATAGAAATAATTACTTGGGATAAAATTAATATTCACATGGAAAAATATGGGTTGATTTGAAAGGGTCAGCATGGATGTGCTAAGGGAAAGTCATGTCTCACTAACGCACGGACTTTTTTTTGCATGGTAAGAGAGGATTGAAGAGGGGAAGGCTACAGTGTGGTGTACATGGACTTCCAAAAGGTTTTCAATATAGGGCCACATAACAGATCTATGAGGAAAGTTGGAGGTCGAAAGGGAGAATAGTGTCATGGATACAGAATTGTCTGGGGGAAGGAAACAAAGTAATGATTAATGGCTATTTTTTAGGCTGAAGGAAGGTTTGTCATGGACTTTCCTAGGGGCCAATATTCAGATCCTTGATTCACTTGATTTATGTTAATGATCTAGATCTTGGTGTGAATGTGACAGTTGCAAAGTCTGCAGACAGCACAAAACTTGAGAGAACTGTAAACTATGGAGTGGTCAGTGTAGATTTTCAAAAGGACATTGATAAGTTGGTGGAGTGGGCGGATAGGTGGCAGATGAAATTCAGTGTGGAGAAGTGGGAGGTGATGCTGTTTGGTAGAAAAGCTATGGAGAGACAGTAGAAAATAAAGGGTGCTTTTCTCATGGGTGTGCAGGAGCAGAGAGACCTGGGTGTATGCTTATGCAAATTATTAAAGGTAGCAGCAGAAGTAGAGAGAGCTGTAAACTAAAAACAAAAATCAGTATTCCAGGCTTCATTAATTGGGGCATAGATTACTAGAGCAGGGCAATTATGATGAACTGGTTAGACCTCAACCACTGTATTGTGTGCAGTTCTGAGTGTCACACTAAAGGAAAAAATGTGCATGTGTCAGAGAGAGTACAGAAGAGTTTTGAGAGTGGTTCCAGTGAAGAGACCCTTTCGAAGATGGGAGAAGTTGGGACTTGGAGGAAAGAAGGCTGAGAGAACATTTAATATAATTTTTCGAAATCATGAGGGGTGTGGATAGAGTAGACAGGGAGAAGTTGCTCCTGCTAATCAAACAGTCTGGAACATGAGCGCATAGTTTTGCAAAAGAAACAAATGCAAAGTGAGAAAAATGTTTTTTTTTAAGGTCTGGAATGCACTGTGTGGAAGTGTGGCGGAGCCAGGTTCAGTTGAGGCAATCAAAAGGGTATTGGATCATTATGTAAATACAGTGAGGAAGCTATGTGACATTTATAAAGTGCATTTATTCCCATCGATGCTCTAATACACATTCTGTGCAGCAGGAACTGCTAGATGGCAATGCTGAGTAGAAAACACAATGCTTTTTGCTGAGCCATCACAGCCTTCTTTCTGAAACTTTTCATTTAGCTGAGAGAAGAATTTACAAATCAACAATCGTGCTTTATTCTTTGCATCTGTACAATCCAAGCAAACTCCTTTCTGTTGTTAGTACTTCTTGTTCATCAAATACTTTCCTGTAGCAACATCATATCTGTATCAACATGGACAATCATTGCTTCATAAACTCTTACCTCTGCTTATGCAAAATATCTTTAGCCTGCACTGTATCATTTAATTTTCCTAAAGCAACAAAAATAAGTCCAGTTTTTGATTTGATTTATCATTCACGCCTCCAGTTCTCTGTTCACTCACAAAGATACACACATGTGCCCAACTGTTAAACTGCATCCCTTCAACAGTGATATGTACGTTTTCCTGATGCTTCCAAAGTCACTTGATTGCTGCTGTTATTATGCTAATACATACTTGAAAGGTTCTCCTTACTGCATACACTGTGTCAGTCAGTCTCTGCAAATCTGTTGGGGTTCAATGTCATCAGCAAATCTGAGACTTTTAAAAATCTTGCTACATGCGCCACGCCGCTAATATCATTTTGTGGTGCAAGGTTAATTACTATTTCCAATAATAAATAAATAAGGAAACAACTCTTGGCTCACTACATTAATATTTCAGCAACAAACTGAAAAGGGAAAGTGTCCCTGCTGTTTGCTACAAAAAATGAAAAAGAAAATCACCTTTATTCAAGTGACATCTCTACCAGTAGTATTCTGTCCATGACTTCTCGTGGAAGGTTCTGGAAAAGCTCTGAATTAGTGACCTGAGTATTCCAGCCAAACTGGACAGTGAGTCTCCATTTTATAACCCTCCTTACCAATCCTTCACAGAATTATGAGGGCACTTAACATATTTGTGCCTCGCTGCAGGCTTGTTTCCCCCCTGCTTCCAAATGGCTTTAAATCCCCAGGAAGGAACGCCTTGTTTGTATGTAAGACTTTGTTTCAATCAGCTGGATGCACTATGCCTTAATTAGCTTAAAAGCTTGTGGTTTAACATACTGTGAAAGCTGTGCTTTTTCCATCATTCAGTTCAATACCTGAACTCCATATTGAATGGTTAACTTTAGAGATAGAACCCTATTTGCATACATTTAGGCAGTTTACACAGTGTTTACCTTAAGGAGTCTTGAAGGCCCCATCTGGTGGTTTATGATGCACTTCTCCTTCTGGGTGCCCTGAACATCTTCCTTGGACAGTCCCTCAATCCGTCCCTCCAATTCTCTTCTGCAGTCCACTTCTTCCTACACCACGTTTTTCCATCTTTCTAAACTTTTACTTGGACTCTATTCTGTTTCCAAATCGGTGCTGTTACTACTCAGACTCAGATATACCAATCTTCATAGGTTTATTAGTCTTGTGCTTATTCTGCTTAGGCCTCTTCCTGGGCTTAATTTTACTTCCACTGATTTAGGTGGTATAGCTTGTTTCAACTCTGCTTTTGAGAATCTCATTGAATTTACTTCCCCTTTCTATTGCTCTCTGACCTTTCTAAACCCTTGCTGTATAAAACAGAAGGGTAGGCCTTCCAGTGACATCTGCTGCCAGTCCAAAGATTTGCACAGTTACCTAGAGTTTGCTTCTTCCCACTTGGTTATCTGTGAAGATTCCCATTTTGTTCTTGCAATTTTTCATCTCGGTCAAATTTGCTTGTTTACTCTATCCATACAAGAGTTCCTGAAATGAGTTCCTATTACCTTCTGTGGAGGACCCTTGACTAGGTCTCTTGCATCTCTTGTGATTCTGCCATGACCCCTCCACCTCCACTGGCAGTCACGACAAATCCACTGTCAGGTTCTCGCTTCACACCCCGTCTGCCTCCTGGTTTGCCAAATTATCCACCACATGTGCAACACAATCCCATGTTCTCTCCTGGAAATTGCATCCCGTCTTTTTCACCGTCCTGTCTGCCAACTGGCCTCTGCTTGATCTGTTCCCATGCACAATGCTGCTCATTCGTCACCTTAAGCACCAGTCCTTCTGTGTAACAGCAGTTTGTGAATCGTTTTTCACTTGCTGTACTATGTTGGCTGTTTTGTAGTGCAATAGCCTTTACTTGACGAACCGAACTTGTGTTGGATGATTATTTACAAAGCATGTGTACTTTGTTCACCAGTGCAGCCCTGAGGTCCCTACGATTCATTAAATCCCTTTCTATTTTCCATTCAAACGTTCGTTTGTTTCACCAAAGTTCAACTTAAGCTTCAATAATAATATATTTCTTTCTCCCCCCTCAATTTTGAAGCCTCTGAATTGAAGACTGATTTCAGAAACATTAGACTTTAGCTACATTTTCTCTTTAAAAACTGGTATTATTCCACATCACATCAGCAGCTATTCCATTTTGTTGCAGTTTCCTAAGCCTCCTACATTTGGCTATTTGCATACCATTTATCTTTTCAAGTATCATTTTTCAATTCTGAAGACGAGTCTGTGCCTGAAAGACTTATCAGTTCTTTCTATAAACTGTTGACTCAAGTACTACATGTTCCGAGCATTTCTGCTGTTGTCTTACGTTTCTGTATGACCTAAAGTGATGCCTATAATCTTTTTTATGTGATGTGACTGGGTGCCTTTTAGATTTCGTAGCTGTTGGGGTGAAGGTAATCTGTTGGAAAGCAATTCTGAATATGTGCAGTGACCTGCCAGCAGTTATGTTGCAAAAATAACTGCAGATTTGGTCAAACTAGTAGCTTCTATTAAGTACTAGTGTTACTTTGTTGCTCATTATTAAGAGACAAGTGGAGCTTTAAGGGGGAAAAAGTAAAAGAAAAACAAGGCTTCCACCAGTCATTGATACTTCTGTGCTGACAGTGCTTCAATCTCCATAATGTTATGGTCAGAGAGTGGAAATACCTGAGACAAATTAACAATTATCTTTGCATGTTTTGATCAGTTTTAAAATAATCCAATTCCGTGTAGTCGAGGTTTCTCCACAACATCAATGTTTTGCTTTCTTTACCTTTTTATTGCATTAACACACTGGCTTTGAGCTGTTGGTTTTAGTTACTGAATTGTTACTTATTCCCAGGTCCACTATAATGAATTTATTCCGATGTTTGAGAAGCAATACCCCAACTATTCCTGGAAGAAAACAGAGGTGGGTTGCCGTGATTGCATTTGCTGTTATTTTTATTACTGTTACACATTTTAAAAATATATTCATTGGGATTTTTCAGGGAGCTTGTCAGAAAAGTAGTCATCACCTTAAGCATTTTTAACTTGCACATAGATTGGAAAATCACAATATGTTTTCGACATAGTTCCTTAGAATCACATGTTCTAGAGTCAACCAGAGAGTGCTCTATATCAGACTTGTATTGTGCATGAGATGTGGATAATGAATGACCTAATACCAAAGCTGCCCCTAGATGGCAGCAATCATAATATGTTTGAACTGTCAGATCAGTTTGAGTGAGAGTGGATGCAAGACGAGCCTTTTAAACTTAAATAAGGGCACTTACGAGGACTTGAAAACAGAGCTAGCTAAAGAAACTGGCAAGTTAGTTTAAGGGATAGATCAATAGTTATGCAGTGGCGGACATTTAAGGGGATATTGTAGAATACACACAATAGATAGTTCCAATGAGAAATAAAAATTCCAAGAGGATTGCCCACTTTCTGCGGTTAATTAAGAAAATTAAAGATAGTGTCAAACTTAAACAAAAACCACATTACTGCACAAAGATGGTTGTTATTTCCAGAAGATCGGACAACTTTTTTTTAAAAAAAACATAGAATGACTTAAAAATTCATAAGAAGGGAAAGATTAGGGTATGAGAGAAAGTTGGCTGAAAATTAAAAACGGATAGTAAGAGTTTCTGTGGGCACAAATATACTTAGTGTGTGTGGGGAATTAATAATGGAAAATAAGGAGATGACAGATGAATAGGTATTTTGCATTGGTATATTCACCGTAAAGGATATAAATGACATTCTATATTATTGTGTATTTCTGTTGGTCTCCTTATTTAAGGATGGATGTAAATGCATTGGAAGCAATTTAGAGAAGATTCACCAGTCTCTAGGTTGCAGTGGGTAGGTTGTCTCAGGAGGATAGATTGGCTTATATCTGCTGGAGTTTAGTATAAAAGGCAAGTTGATTGAAGCATGTAGGTACTGAGTGAACTTGACTGGGGCGGATGTGGATTCCCAATCCCTAATGACATTGTGGTTGTACCTACATCAAATGGACTGCAGTAGTTCAAGAAGACAGCTCACCATGTTCTCCTCGAGAGCAACTAGAGATGATCTATAAATGGACAAGCCAACAACATCTACATCCATGAGTGAAAGTTTAAAACAAAAAGATGTTTCTTCTTGTGGGAGAATTTAGACTGGGAGGTGGGTCACCATTTAAAGAATAGGGCTTGCCCATTTATGAAAGGGATGGCAAGAATTTCTTTCCTCAGAGTGCGTCATGAATCTTTGCAACACTCTTCCTGAAAAGTTGAAGCGGGTCTTTGAATACCTTTAAGACAAAAGTGGATACATTCATGGTGAGCAAGAGAGTGAAAGGTTATCGGCAGTAGACAGGAATATGGATTTGAGATCACAGTCAGATCCTGTTCTGCTCCTACTTTGTATGTTTTTGTTTCAGGGCAGTTAATTTGACCACAGAAGCAAAAACAGAAATTGCTGGAAAGGCTCAGCAGGTCTGGAGTGAAATCAGAGTTAATGCTTCGGGTCCATTGACCCTTCCTCGGATTTCCAGTATCCGCAGTTCTTTTGGTTTTTAATTTGACTAACAGGTTTGGTTAGTTCAGGAACCTCAACACCAAGCAGAGGTGAAAAGCTATTTCCACCAGGCTTACTGCTGCCTCACAGTGCCAGGCGCCCGGGTTCAATTCCACCCTCGGGCAACTGTCTGTGTGGAGTTTGCACATTCTCCCCGTGTCTGCGTGGGTTTCCTCTGGGTGCTCCAGTTTCATCCCACAATCCACAGATGTGCAGGCTGGGTCGATTGGCCATGCTAAATTGCCCGTAGTGTTCAGGGATATGTAGATTAGGTAGGTTTATAGGGGTAGTAGGAACTGCAGATGCTGGAGAATCCGAGACAACAAGGTGCAGGGCTGGATGAACACAGCAGGCCAAGCAGCATCATAGGAGCAGAGAGGCTGACGTTTCGGGCCTAGACCCTTCATCAGAAAAGGGGGAGGGGGAGGGGGTTTTGAAATAAATAGGGAGAGAGTGGGAGGCGGATAGAAGAGGGACAGAGGAGAGGATAGGTGGAGATGGATGGGTCTGGGTGGGATGCTCTGAGGGTCGGTGTGGACTTGTTGGGCCTGTTTCCACACTAGGGTTTCTATGAAGTCACAGATTTAGAAGGTAATCTGAGGTAGACTTGGCACTTTTTGGGCTGAAAGTGACAGCCTTGAAAGTGTATAGCTTTATTCCTTTGGGTAATGATTTTGTTAGAAATTTTAAACAAGTTACATTTTTCTTTAAATTTTGTAATTCTTTTCTTTCTATTCTTCACTTTATTTCCTGAATGACATTGAATTCAGCTATTCTCAATCACACTCCTACTTCCGTGTTTTCCCTCGATCCTGCGAATTCATAAGTTAAGGAGGTATACTGTTGATTTGATTATTCTGTGCGGGTCAGATATGATCTCTTATCTTTGCCCTTTAACACCCCCAGCAACCTGCAGGACAAAAATATTCTGGGCTAAAAACTGAAGGAAAAAATCTTGCCAAGTGGGCACATTATGAGAGTCCCAACTCCAACAAGTAGCCCATTAAAATCTAACTTGTAGTACCCCTGTCATAAAATCAGGTAGGCTCTGAATTAATATGGGCAAAATCATAAGAAATCCATTATGAATCAGAAAATATCTATACTTATTATAAAGTTGATTAACTTTCCTCATGGTTTTAACTCATTTTTTAACTTGTTACAGGAAGAAATACATAAATCATTTGTTGAACTGTTTCGAGTGGCTACAGCCAAAGATGCTCCTTTTGGTATCTGCAATTATCCATCATCCCGGGCAATATATGCTATTGATCTCATGTTGAAATGGGACACAGACAGTGATGGTAAGTGTTTTATCCCTTTGAATTTCTGTGGTTGGGATGGGATGCATACAGCCACCAAGCCAATTATAAAAACCAGGATGTGAACAAACATTATTTTTCCTTGGAAGTTTTGGTATCAGCTAAAATTTGTTCCTATGAACAAGGGTTTCCAGACAGACTACTAAGAAATTCGCATTAGTAAAGATTATATATTTTTTTCCCTGCGCAAAGAAAGCAGATCAAAGGAAGCATCTTGTAAGAACGCCAGAAAAAGTAGAAGTTTGAAGATAGGAAGCAATTTAGAACCCAGTAAAGGAAGACCAAGGAACTGATAAAGGGAAAAGAGAATATGAATGCAAGCTATTAATAACTATAAAGGTAGTTTGTAAAGCTTCTTTAGATATGTGAAAGGAAAAGATTAACCAGGAAAAATATGGGCTCACTACAGGTGGGAACAGGAGAATTTGTAGTAGAGAACAGGGAAATGGCAGAGAAACTGAACAATTACTTTGTATCTTTCTTCATCAAAGAAAATACAAAAAATCTCCTGAAAGTACTAGGTGACTAAGGGACTTATGAAATTGAGGAACCATACAAAGTTACAATTAGTAAAGATGTGGTAATTAAAAGGTTAACTGGATTAAACTTGGTGCGTCCCCTGGACCAGATGAGCTGTATCCCAGAGTGATGAAGGAAGAAGCTGTAGGTAGTAAACAAATTGGTGGTTATCTTTCAAAATTCCAACAGACTGGGCAATTCAGCATCCCCTTGGTATTGTGCTGCAGTTTTGCAATTAGACCACGAATACCACAACAGACACTGCCACCTAATGCAGGTCATGACGACAGTTCACCCCCATCCACGGGTTGAAAGTTCAAACCCCTGTGTGGCAATTTGTGGAAGTGAATTAATAAAGCTAGCAATTAGTGACCATGCAAGATTGTTGTAAATTCTCAAACTGGTTTGTAAATGCCTCTGAAAAATGTGACTAAAGAAGAGAGGATACTTTATGGAGAGGCATGAGAGATGGGGGTTATTCAGCAGTACAGAAAATGCTGAGCCTGGGCCTGATGAAAGTTGTGAATA